GCTTTTCTACTGATATCTAAAGTACTAATCATCACATTTCAATGAATCTAGAATTATTCAGACCCAATTAGTTTCCGGTAAATATTTGTGCATATTAATCACCTAATTTGCATAATTAACCAACTTTCACACTGATATCTCAGGTACTATACATCACATATCAATGAATGTACATGGATGCTGTAGGACAATAGACAGACCTGAATAATTGTGGGTTAAAATCTGTACATATTAATTACCTAATTTGCATAATTAACCAATTTTAAGCTTTCATACTGATATCTAAAGTACTAATTATTCCATTTCAATGAAACTTAGTACAAAGATGCTCTAGGACAATGTACAAACCTAATTAGTTTGGGGTAAAAATCTGTTCATATTAATTCCCTAATAAGCATAATAATTCATAATTTTTTGGTTCTAATGACGTGACGTGACGTGATGTAACGGTAGGATTTGACTTGGTGTGGGTGGGAATGACGTGTTGTTCTGTAATGTGTTCTAATGTGATGTGGTTTTATGTGATGCGACGATTTCTTGTGTGATATGGTGTGGTTTGAAGTGGTGTGGATTGGCATGACCTGACGAAATGTGATGTGGTGGGGATTGACATGATGCTATGACTTGATTTGACGGGATATGGATTGATATGACGTGGTGTACAGGGTGATTTGAGGTGGCGTGGAATGACATGATACGATGTGTGCGCGCGGTATGGTTTGAAATGACGTGATGTGACGTGTTGTGTACTGGCATTACGTGATGTGACGGCATGGCGTGGTTTTGACGTGACGTGACGTGACGTGACGTAGAATGATATGGCGTACGACACGTAATGACACCGATTCTCCGTTTAATCTTCAGTTAGCTGAACAGACGGCAAAAGGAGGTCGACTTGCCTGTTTGACAATGTCAATGGCGTCACAAGGACCAAGTACGACCCAGGCGTTGCAAGGACATGGTGGAGGTAATATATCCATGGATTAGAAATTCAAATAAAACGTATCGAATAATATGTGTGCAAATTGCATTTGTGCCAGGAGACAGTAGTAACGATGTTATTCAGTACCAGCGCCAATTATATAATGACCTAGGAAGTATATATTCATAAGAATATTTCTTATTGATATTTCTGCACGATCATTTGTTTGCTAATGGCGTTGTTCTGTTTTTGCAGTGATGGGTGTAGACATGTTCTTCAATATGCCGACACATCCCAACCCCACCCTATATTCCTACCAAGCAGTTAACATACAGGTCCCCTACAAAATGGTGACTGGGTTGGCGTCGGCCTCCGTCAAAGTGGACCTAGACTGGAACGCTCAACTCCGGGCGTACTTAGCACAGGGATGGAGGCTGACAGATATTTTCTTCGATTCTTCTTCCAGCACGCGAAGTAAGGACATTCGTTAAATATTAACCTATTTTAAAGCGCAGCAGTTATCAGACAGCGAGCGTTTGAATTTCCATGGTACTCATATCAAACTATAGTGCTTTATTTCTGGTTTAAGTTACTTTATTATTCGAGAAGGATGATTAATATCATGACGTTTTTCGCAATGTTATATTTCAGTGGGGTTCATGTCTGCATCCGGTGCGATGAACTCGGTGTGGTTCTTTGAAAAGGACTGTTCAATGATAGACGATCCGACTCCGGTGTACGAAGGCGTGGCAATCGAGTACTGGCAGAAGATTGTTGTGAGTAAACCCAAGGCCTGTTTTACCCCGGGTTTAATTTTCATTTTAAAGGGTGGTGGTTGTTGCGCCGCGCATGCGCAAAATGTATGTTGATAAACATTGATTCTCCCACAATCCAATGCACTTTTCTGATGAAATCCCGAGTACAACTTTAGCCCCGGGCGCCAATTGCACTAATTACCGCCAACGACTCCTTGGATACCTTCCAAAAAAGTACCTGATTAAAACTTGGTAACATCTCAGTTTGTACTCGATGGGCTGCGCAACAGTCAAAGTCGCCATCTTTGTTTTTACGAGACCCATATCTCGTGCGACGACCACCACCATTTGATCATATCAAACAGGTGTATGGGCTGGTGTCGTATACACCATGGTGGCTTTTGTACACCCATGAATTGAAATTTTTTCCATAATACAAATTGCCTGTCATCCAGTGACACGCTCTGCTTGCCGGGAATCAATCAAAATGTTATTTTGTATTTCCCATTGGTTGACTTATATGGAACAAGTGGAATTAAAAAATGTTTATTATTCTAGGTGGGTATGACTGGAAACATGAAAGTGGATGGAAAATGGGACAATACTATCACACAGATGGGACAGCGTGGGTGGGAACTCACCACGATACTAAGTACACCTGAAAGCAAATCTGCTGGAATGACAATGCATATGAAGATTATGATGTTTTTCCAAAGGAAAATAATGACAGCGCCCTCTGTTAGCCAGGATCCGTCAGCGAAGGAAAATGCGCAAGTCTCGACCGAGCAGTAATCCGAGTGCAGCTATGCCAATTTCAAAAACATTCCATTAATTTAAAGCGGGGGAGTCGTCACCTACGCATGCGTCAGGCAGTCATAGTGTGTCATTGTTAACAAACAAGCGTCTACCTATGAGCCTTTGCGTTCTTAGCGTGTGTTGTTATCATCGCTTGGGACTCAATTCCTGCGCGTGCGCAGGTGACGACCCTCTCGCTTTAAAAACAAACACTGTTTCTGTAATGAAGAAAGTCACTCTAGAATATACCATATATTGTAAACACTAGTCGGACACGTGATCTGAGTTTGCTCTACATGAAAGAGGCATTTATTTACAAACAGCAAGTCTATCCCAGTGCCTTCACTGAAGACAAATTACATACATTTTCTATATTTTCTGCGTTCAACGTTGCACAACTAAAGTGTACATTTACGTGAATTGGGTGATACGGGTGAATACTTCAACACTGTTTTCCGTTGTACGTGTAGTAGATTTTAATTTCATTTCAAAATGTATTGAACTATCTGCATCACGGTGCACCAGCGCTTTAATGACGTCACATAATTTCTCTCGGATCTGAAATTGAGAAACGTTTCAAAATCGTTTTTAAGTATTACATTTTTGTTAAAGATTTTTATGCTCCACCACTTTGTACATTTATAATCTTGTAAATAATTGTTAATAATAAATGTCAATGTTTGTTATGAACTGTTTCTTTGCGAGTTCAGTTTTAAACAATACTTTTTACATGTTGTACATTTTTGGTTAGAGCGCCATCAACGGTGATAAACTCAGTGAGTTGGGAGGTTTTTATTTGTTATTCATATTGTAAGTATAGTTAGTCTAATGAATAAAAACTCCAGAACTATCAAAATGTTTTTTTTAGCCTTTCTTGTAGGTGATGATTCACTATTTGTCTAATGTTGGAATTCAACTTCGCGGTGATATCTGTGAATGGGTACGTTTGTTTTACTATAAGGATTTTATCAAAGTTTAAATACAAATTCCATGGAAATCACGTGGACGGTAATTTATATTTTAAAAATAACTTTACACATTTGTGATCTTTGTTATCTCATTAATGTGCAAGGCGAGCCACCTTTTCGGTACAAAGGGTATTTGGGGCAGTCTGTTAACATCTCCCTCAATTGCTGCTAATCAGTATGCCTAGCACTACCCTTATGTTATATTAACAAACTGGTATCAGTATGAATGTGTCGTTTACACTGACAAAATGGCTGCGGCAAAACGATCCACCACACTCGATCAGATCGATGACCAATATCTAACGTGCAGTATATGCTTTGAGAGATTCAACAACGCAAAGATCCTGCCGTGCCAACATTCCTTCTGTGAACTATGTCTTTTGAAGTGGGTGAACAAGCACAGACAAGACAGATGTCCGGTATGTAGACACAAGTGTCAGCTGTCCACAAGTAGAATACGAAAACTTCCGTCGAGTTTGTTGATCAACGGCGTCATTGGAATTATAGAAGCCCGGGAGAAACAACTCAGAGGGGGACCATGTGATGGTTGTCTTAACAACCCCTCATCTAATAGATGCGTGGACTGCGCTATGTTTCTATGTAGAAACTGCAGCATGGCGCATAAATATAAGCCAGTGAGTCGCAATCACCATACCATGACGACTGATCAATACCAGCAGGCCAGATTAAAAGATCCATCAATTGCACAGCTCGCTGTCAACTGTACAGCCCATAATGATAAGGTTATCGAGTTTTATTGTGAAACGTGTCAGATACCGACATGCGGATCCTGCATCAGGCAGATACACCGAGAGCATGTGTTGGTCGATATAAACCATGCTGCTGACGAGGTTCGAGTTTTAGCAACCGAGAAGATTACATCACTGAAAACCAAAGTCACACAAGCACGTGTGAGCAGAGAACGTACCATGGAACACGTCGGGGAATTGGATAGGGAATATAACAAACAAGTAGAGCGTATAAAACTACATGCAAAGAAAACTAGAATCAGCATCTTCAAGAAGTTGAAACAGTTAGAGCAGAGTCACCTCGAACATTTGAAAAGGTCTCGCGACCAGATCAACGGGGAACTTGATACGCACCTCCACACGCATGAGCAGGTAGAGGAACTAGTCACGAGTACACTGACTTTCACAGAGAGTCTATTGCAGCATAGTAGTTCCGCATTGTTAATGAAGACCAGCAAAGAGACGACGAATCAGTTAGATACTATGGCGGAAATTGATACAGTGTTTAAACTACACAGGAAAACCTTACCTACATTTTGCCCTGCTGACGTGACCATTAAAGGTACTCTTGGGTCATTTTCACATGTTGCCCAGTGTGAGTTAGAAACTATGTCTGGTAGTGGCTCCACGGCAGGTAGCCACAAAGGGTTAGAATCTGGAAAAATAGAAATAGAAATTTCCCGCGCAAAACCTATTTCTAGCCAGCAAGAATTGCAAACTAGGCCCGGGAGAGAACGGGATCTTCTAGAACAAACTTTGGAGTCCGATTATGCTGGTGATAATGACATTAAATCTGACCACAGTGAGTCTATTACTTCTGCTCCTAGTTCGAACGAGGAATCATCAACCAGTCAGACACGCTTTGATACAATGATTGAAACTCGTAGTGACGTCACTCTACATTCTGAATTGTGTCTTGAAAAAAGTTTAGGTACATACGGTGAAGGATCCGGCAACTTCAACTGGCCATTGGGTGTGACAGTCACTGCACATGGTGATATTGCGGTTGCAGACCAGCGTAACTATCGAGTTCAAATCATAGACAGAAACGGTAAAGAAAAAATGAGCATCCATAATGAGGGTACTGTAACATTCTTTGGAATTAAGAAGAGTTACCCCATAGATGTAGCGATATCTAAAGATGGCAGGTACTTAATAACTGATGGAAATAAGGCTTACAGTGGAAAGACGTCTCTCAGATTCCGTAAAACAGAAGGATGTAATTTCAATCAGGTTCTTGTATGCAACCAAAGCGGAAGATTAATTAGCTGCTTCGGAAAGAATGAATTACGAAATCCTTGTGGCATTGCCATTAGCGATAGTAGAAAACTTGCATATATTGTGGATGAAAGTGCAAATTGTGTATTAGTATACGAGACAGACAGTTATACGTACGTCAAGTCATTTGGTAAGGGTCATCTTCACGGGCCAACGTTTATCGCCGTTAATAATAAAGACGATATCATTGTCAGTGATACACATCATCACTGCGTTAAGGTGTTCAACTGTGAGGGCGAGCTGAGTTTCAGTTTCGGTTCACGTGGCAGTGAAGATGGTAAATTTTTATATCCGTTCGGGGTTGCCACTGATAACCATGGCAACATATACGTGTGTGATTATGGTAATAGCAGAATCGTAATTTTCGATTTTAGAGGTGAACTTATTACTTCAATCAAAGAAGTGCCTTGGCCGACCGGCATTGCTGTTACTGGTGACGTACCGTGTAAGATTGTCGTCACCACAGAGTGTGTGCAAATATATGCATAATTTATTATGCAAATATATGCATAATTTATTATTCCAATATCATCTATAGATAAATCAAAACTGTTTACGATATGTGTACAAAATATACGGCTACATGTGAATACGCGCGATGGTCGTCGCGCAGCGCGTGTTCGAATTTCATGTAAATAAACATTGTATTTTACACGCGTTGTATACGTCGCTATGAGTCCCATATCGAACAGGACGCGGCACGACGACAGCCGCCCTTTAATATAACATTTTCTTATAATCGAACAGAAATTACGTTCAATAATTTATTCACACGTTTCACATTGTATTTCGTGAATAGCTCTATGTATTAGTTATTTAACTATACATTGTTTTGGGTGAATTTACCACATTATTATAGTCATTAAAATGTGTAAGATACTTTAGCCTCAGCTCTCTTTAGTTATTCGTTTTGCATCAACCAGTTTTTTTGACTCCCATGTGCGAAGCACATAATGGGAGTCTTTGCAGTTAGTGTGTCTGTGTGTGCACGGTTACTAAAACCGTAACCGTAACCGTGGTGTGTGTGTATGTGTGTATGTGTGTATGTGTGTCCGACTGTTCCACTGCTATCTCAAGAACCATACATCGGTTTTTGATGAAACTTGGTGCATAGATGCTCTGGGCCAATGCGCAGATTTGATTAGGTTTTGGTAAAAATCCATGCTCGTTAATTACCTAATTTGCATGATAATTAGCTAATTTTTAGCTGTTCTTTGACAGTTCCACTGATATCTAAAGACCACTCATTGATTTTGATGAGCTTGTACATAGATGCTCTGACATATGCGCAGATTGATAGTT